GTTTCAGTGTAGTGGACACGGAGATGGAAAAGAAAGGGAGAAAGGGGTGGTAAAGGTTTAAAGGGAAAGAAGGAGATATGAGGAGTGAAAGAAGCATAGAGAAAACACAAGTCAACGTCAACTCTACACCTGCAAAAAGAGAAAAACAAAATAAAACTAAGAAACCACAGCAATAAACAACATCTCATCACATCTTCTTCCGCTTATCTGGGGTCGAGTCATGGGCGCAGCAGCCTAAGCATAGAATCTCAGACTTCCCTCTCCCCAGCCACTCGGGCCAGCTCCTCTGGGGGAATCCTGAGGCGTTCCCAGGCCAGCCGAGAAACATAGTCCCTCCAGCGTGTCCTGGGTCTTCTTCTAGGTCTCTTGTCTGTAGGATGTTCCCAGAACACCTCCAGGGAGGCGTCCAGGAGGCATCCTAACCAGATGAACCACCTCAACTGGCTCCTCTCGACGTGGAGGAGCAGCGGCTCTACTCTGAGTCCCTCCAGGATGACTGAGCCTGAGAGCCCAGAAGCCCGGCGGAGGAAACTCATTCCGGCTGCTTGTATCCACGATCTCGTTCTTTCGATCACTCCCCAAAGCTCATGACCATAGATGAGGGAACATAGATCGACCGGTGAATTGAGAGCTTCGTCTTGTGACTCAGCTCCCGTTTCACCATGACAGACCAGTGCAACGCCTACATCACTGCCGACGCAGCACCAATCCGCCTGTTGATCTCCCTCTCCATTCTTCCCTCATTTGCGAACAAGACCCCGAGATACTTGAGGTAGGACCTCTTCCTCAACCCGGAGGGAGCACGCTATTCTTTTCCAGCTCAAGGCCAGGGTTTCTGATTTGAAGGCACTGATCATCATCTCGGCTGCTTCACACTTAGCTGCTACATCATCAGTAACCTAGCACTAACACATTTTATTCTTCCTTTAAGGTCTAGGGTTTAAAAGTTCTGCACAGAAACTCTGAACTGAGGAAATCAGTTCATTTACAGTTTGAATGAATTGTGCGAAATTTAAACATAGACTGTCACTGGGTTTTCTACCTGCAGTTTTTTAAGGTTTGCATGTCTCTGATGTTAGATTAAAGTTTATACTTTGTCTCTGTGGGAATAAATCTGTCACCTTCTACCTTACCTTGAACTGAAAAAGAAAAATAATTTTCACTCATCTCTGTTTTAAAATGATATTAAGTTACTGCCCTGACACAGTGCCAACCCATTTAATAATGACCTTTAATAATCTTGAATAACTTACTGCTACTTTTAATCTGCATTTATGCTTTTTTCTAAGGGCAGGGTATGATTTTTCTCTGCAGAAATTATACATCTTACTGCAAGGACTAATTAAAACATTCACTCAGAAACGTTATTAGAACAGAATAAAGATATGGAAAATTGTGGCCAAGAAAATCTTTCTAACCCTGCTAATCTTTATTTTTTTCATGAATTAAATGCAACCTGGGCTGTTTCT